AACGAGCTGAGCAACGCGTTTTTGCAGTGGCGAGCGCGCACGACGACGGCGACACTCGGTCGGAAACAGGGAAGCTGCTGCGGCTCGGCGCTGCGCGCGGTGGAGGCGAGAGAGAAGCAATGGAGCAGGCGAGTGCGTTCGGGCAGGCGCTGGCCTTCTTCTGGAGGTCGAACGCACGACGTGGAGGCTTCGGCCGAGCATGAACGCCACGCGGTGAGCGGCTCCTGCACCGGTCGGCCATGACGTTCGCTGAACGTTTTCTAAAAATGGCGATTCAGTGCTCGAGGATGATGACTGACAGCGAGTATTCGACGTGTCAACACAGCTAATCCAATGCTCCTTTGCAAAAACTGTGTACATGAAAAATGTAGGCCTACTATCCATCTACAACTTCTTTTCAAGGACCATCATCTAATTCGCGATGGATCAGTAGTTACATCAATCCAAAGTTGGCTTGATCCACTGAAAATGTAGCTACGACTTAGAAAATTTTCTAAGTGTGAAATCAGCATGAAATTCTGACTTGTGGGCCATGTTTGAGCTTGTTCTAGCCATTTTCATGAGATGATCATAAAACAGCTTTTGTTCCTTGATAAATTAGCTCCAACTTTGGTAAAGAGTGCACAACCATGCAAAATCCCTAAGTTGGACTTTTGAATCAGTCAAACTGTGGCACTCTAAGGGTCAATTCAAGTCAAACCTCCATTTGGGGTATTTTTGTCATTTTGATCTACATGAACAATGTCCAAACAATTACCCTAAGTGTAGTTAAGGTGTATTAGACCATGATCAACCACCTTACACAATTGTTATACCATTTCAAATGAGCACATGTGATGAAACAACAAAACAAGCAATTCACCCAATGTTGCAATGCAATGTTTCACATGTTTCATGACTTTGTTGTCATTTTATAATTGTCACATTACTACCATATTGCCATGTTTCAAAGTATGAGAAATTCATGTTACATTCACATGTTGCACTACTACCATTCTAAGCAATCAAGTATGAAACAACAGAATTTACGAGTGTTGCATATGTATGTTTCAGAAATCATGGCATGGTGACATGAATGATGCATATGTTTATGAAATGAAATGCAATTTAGTGGAAGCCAAACACCTAGGGTGTTACACCCCACGTCCATTTGGAGTACTAAACATTGAGCCAGACGAGTCAACTAGACACCCACACAAGCTTCGATTCTACTAGAGGTGCTCTTCGCCTTCCTCCGGTGGGGATGGGCTCAATAGCCCTCACAAATACTTCTCTGGAGCATAGCATAGTCTTCTTGCGTGCTTCACGGAGACAATCACCAAGCCATCTAGGAACCTCGCCGACAAGCTCCAAGAGTACCGAGCAAACACTCCTACAAATCACCACCTAGTGCCACTTGATTAGTCACTCAAATAATCGCACTAGCTAGGATCAGTCTCCAACTCACTAAACTTGTCTCACAAGAAGTATATGAGTTGGAGAGGTTTGGAAGGGCTCTCTTGATGTGTATGTGCTTCCCAAAGTGCTAAGAGAGCCCTCACAACCGGCCACCTCTTTGTTTATAGAGGGGAGCATGTAACTAGTAGCTATTTGGAGGGCTGGCTTGGCTCTTTGTGTGCCTGGCGGTGGGACCACCAAGCTGACGGTCCCAACATTAGGAGCCACGTGTCAGCGTCGACGCAGCGCAACAAGTCTTTCAAACTATCGGAGCCTAATGGTCACCTAGGCTTGGTGGTCCCACCACCAGAACCCATGGTCCCACCGCCTGGGTGCCTCTAGCAACGGCTCAACGGCCCAACAGGCCATCAGAGCAAACACTACCATTGTTCCCGTGAACAGTAGCCATGATCTAACCGCTAGGCCCAATGGTTGGACCACCAGGGCCACTTCCAACAGCCCAAGCGCGTCCAAATGTCTCCGTTTAAATTCATTTTTAAATCTTTGTAAATTTTGCTAACTCCCAAGTGTTGTCCATCAAATCAACCTCTACCTTGACATACTACAACTACAAGTTAGCACTTTTCAAATATTTTTGCAAACGGTTTTCAAACTCATTTTTAGATCACCACTCGTCTCTAATATCAACATGGTTAGGACCTCACAAGTGGCACTAGATAATTGACATGCAAACACATTTGCCCCTCTTAATACTATGGCTATCTATCATAAACCAAACCATTTGAATCTTCATTACATAACCTCATGGCCGGCAAAATGAAACATCCTATGTTTCATACCTTTGCCTTGTGCTTATCCAATTTCTCTCAATTGGTGCCCACAAGGAAAAACATTGCCGACATATTCGCCAAGCCACTTGATACGATCAATGTATCTTTGGCTTGATCTTCATAAGTGATGTGGATCACTCAAACCACACAAGACTTCAAGTCCATTGACCTTAGCCTCGCTTGCTCTTCTCCATTGCCTTGGACCATCGGTGCCAAGCTCTCTACTCACACTTCACCACCTTGATGGTCTCCATCGTGTCTCGAGCCTTTAGCTTGCCCTTCACCAATGCCTCGGTCCATCAGCGCCAAACCCTCTACTCACACTTCACCGCCTCAACTGTCCATCGTGTCCTAAGTCTCTAGCTTGCCCTTCACCATTGCATTACACACGGTTCATCCTAGCCAAGCCTTGCTTTGGTCTTCACCTTCTTGCTATGCTTGATTTGGGTTTTCCAACATGCTATCAATCATGTCCATGACAATGCCATCTCATCTTGTGAACTAAACCAACTTCCCTTCACACACTCAAATAGAAAGGTTAGTCCACAAGTGTTGTCATTAATTACAAAAACCCAAACAAGGGCCTAGATGATTCAACAAGTAAAGATTTAAGTCACCATACAATAATCTCCATATTGACTTTAATCCTTTGAAGTCATCGTGCTCCTCTAGGAATTCTCTCCAAGTCAACTCCTTATTTTTATACTCCCACCTTGAGATTGCCCCCAACACAAGGGGCTCATGCACATCACCACAATCTGGGTGTCAGTGTCCAGGATGGAGTGCCCAGACCTTCCACCTAAGAGCTCCTTCATTATGTAGTTTGGTTAACCACACCACCTTCTCCTATGGCTCTCCATGCCATAAGTTCGTACCGCTTCTAAGCTCCACCTGCTCATTGGTACAATGTGGTCAGTCCCACCACGTGTTCCTTTTTCCAACAACTAGCAGCTTCGCCTCTACGACTATTAGATTTTTCAAACCATCTTTGAATCCTTGCACTTGACTGCAATTGAGAATTGAGTACCTACAGTTGACGAGGTGACTTCCTTCTCCTCACTAGGAGGCCATAGGATGGACCAATATTGGCTAGCACATGACACAATCACGAGCAAGAGCACATAGAGATGGTGATGAAGATGGTGTTGACCAAAGTCAAGGTTAGGGCTGGACCAAGTCAAGACGAGGCGTCATGAGCCCTTGGTGGACCATCGGGCCAAGGACATATGGAGGACACGTGTCGACATCTGAGGGGTTATGTACTGACTACGAGACCTAGGGGAGCTTGGCGGTTTTGGCCTCAAAACCACAAGCAAAGTAGTTTTTGGGTTTGGGCCTAAAAACCAAGGGGGATCTTAGGGTGGCATGTGGCATCATCGGAGAGCTTGTGTTGAGGTGAAGCGACTTTATGAAGGACCCATGGTTGTCCGATGCTTTGAACCCGCGATGGCTGGGTGATTCATGTATAAATGTAGGGGCAATCATAGAATGTGTAATAGCCTATAAATAAAAGAAGTGGATGCTCAAGACAACCACCCCTTCCAAGGGCTAAAGTGCTAAGCAAGAGATAGGCTAGAGAGAGATAGGCATCTCTTAGTTGGGAGTTAGGCTAATATGATGTATAGGTGAATTCATGGTTGTTTAATCTATAATAAATTCATGTGAATTCACCTCTCTTGTCTCCTCCTAAATCCCTATTTTTTTTATTTTTGTGAATTTTCGTCACTTTTCTTTGGTGATTTTTGGATCTATGTGTGGTCTGATTTCCTAAGTTATTTTGATTGGTTTTGGGGTCCTTGGAACTTGGCCAAATCATGGCTTGTAGCTCAGCTCTCATCTCTTTAGTTCCTCTCTCCAAAAACGCTCATTCCTAGTTTCTTTTGGTGAAATTCTCGAAGATCTTTGTGCTGCAGTTTTTGTGATGTTCTTGATTTGTGTTTAGGTGCTATGAGGCATTTGGAACAGACATAGACACCACCCTCAATAGATATTTTCTAGGAGCACCTAAAAATCATCATTTTGACGATTCTTTCAAAACCCCAATTTGAGAGAGTGATTTCAAAATTCCTAACCAAACTTTGATCTTTTAGGCAAGATCTATTGGGGGTAGATTCAAAATGGGTTGATAGAGAAGAAGTGTGTAATATTTCATTATTTTTGAGCTCATTTGAATTGATTTCGGATTTTTCTTAGAGTGAAGCTGATTGAAAACAGAAAAACCAGCTCAAGCTGGTTTCCAAAACCAGCTCAGCCAGTTTTTCGGACTTGCTCCAATTAATGTGATTTTTTTGCTGAGACATTCTCTATGATATTATAAACCCCTCCACAAATTTCACAGATTTAAGAGGTCATTTGATTGAATTTCGACATTTTTCTTTCTGAGTGTGGAAGGCTGAAATCTGCGAAATAAGCCTAAACCGGTTTGGATTTAGGCTAAGCTGATTTCTGCTGGACGTGTTCAAATTCGCCATTTTCAACTTCGTTCGCTTTTGCATCTCTTTAGCCTAGTTTCTAGGGTACATAGGTCCACTGTTACTACGAGATCCTGGCTATCGCAGCTAATCTTGCTAGTGTTGCGTGAGAGTTTTGTGCGTTGTCTCGGGATATAGGCAGTTCATTCTTGAAAATAGAAACATTTCAGGCTCATATTCACCTTCCTCTGGTCGCCTCAACAGTTCTCCGGAATTTTTTGGTTTTGTTGATTTTTTATAAGTTTGACGAGTACAGACAACGGTGAGAATAACCCCAGTCTATTTGGGGGTCAACACATACATCTTGCAAGCATGTGTTTCCACTGTCGCCTTCAGCTCTCCTTGCACAGATGATATAACCTCAACCTAAAAACATAATAAAATCAGACACACATAAGAAAGTTGAGAAGAATCACAGTTTATTTGCAACTACGAGAAAATATATATGCTATGGTAGACTTGTCTATGATCAAGGGGAAGCAAAAAAAAAAGAATATGCATGCTTACTGTCCACAGATCATGAGCGTTGACGACAGCTGAAGTGCTAAGACCAATGCTGCTCCAGCTGGCAGTGATGGATGCTTGAGTAGGCCCTCTATTCCATAGAACAACTGCAACTCTCCCTCCACTTAATGGACCAGCCCAGACCTAGTGAGAAGATCATGGTTTAGAAACTACTCAAAGCATTGTGCCAAGCCAAGCATAGGTTCTGATTTTCCAGCACTTACTTCTCGGTCTCCATTTTTTTGCACTTTGTGCCCTTGCACCCCAAGTTCATCTGGCCATGAATCATTATATTTTACCCAGTCATCATCTCTAATTGTTAGTTTGGAAAATGGAGGAATGGTCATGGTGTTTTTATTAACCTTGATTGACTGCAATGACATTTTGATTGCCGAGGATATCCTTGGTATCCTTGCTCATAGAGCGGATGTCGCAGCCAGTCAAGAGAGGTGCATGCATCATCGAGTCAGCTCAGGCACCATGGACTTGCTAGCTGTCAGGTATCGGTATTAGGGATACCCGAAGAAGGATCTGAGGACAGCGGACGACAACTCGCCTAGATAATCAAGGACGTATTTCAGTCTTGACCGACCCCGAAGGGATGGTTTCGCCTCGCCAGACCCCTCGGGCACGGGCCCCATGTCGCCCAACCCCGAGGGTACGGGAGCCGTCTCGCCCAACCCTGAGGGCACGGGCTCCGTCTCGCCCGACCCTCAGGCACGGGCCTGTGTCGCCCGACCCCGGGGTTACGGGAGCCGTCTCACCCGACCCCGAGGGCACAGGCTCTGTCCCGCCCGACCCCGAGGGCGCGGGCTCCGTCTCGCCCGACGGGGACCCATACCACCTCCAACCACTACGGGTCTAAGGGTACGACCCCGGGGTCAAACTTCTGACACCGGGAGGGAAGCGGGCACATCTCGACGTGACCCATGGCCACGTCAGGCCACGCCCGGGGGTTCGCATCGCCAATAGTGACGGGTGCGTGGTCATTGTGCTACCTAATCCCCGTACGGACGCTGATAGGCACGTCGGTTCACCACGCCGTCCGCCGGGACGGGATGGGATGCCACGACCAGTTGATGACGTCGAGGCATGGCACTAGTGATGAACAGGAGCCAGACGTGGAGCCGTCCCCATCGCCATCTATAGTATCGGCAGGACCCGCATGAAGGAGACGAAGGACGCGGCGGCCCTGGAGGCCTTCTTCTCCCTCGCTTTTCCCCTTTTCTCTCTGTGTAACCCGCGCCTTCCCCATCACCTATAAAAGGGGAAGAAGGACGTCCCATGAGAAAAAAAGCGCATGACTGAGTAGCTGAACAAACTCTCAACACTCTTCAATCCTTCTACCAGAGACCTGGGATCTGCTCCCTCTCTCGCCCTTTTGTAACCCCTACTACAAACTAGTGTCGGTAACACGAACAACAGCAGACTGGATGTAGGGACATTCCACCCGAACCACTATAAATTCTTATGTCCTCCGCGCACACCATCCGGGCCAAACGCGCAGATACAAATTTACTAGCCGGTGATCCAAAACACCGACAGTTGGCGTGCCAGGTAGGGGCTTTTTGCGCGTCTCGACATCCACATTAGGCCTCGGATGGCTAGTCACGGCGTCAACTAGGTCCTAGGCGCGCACGTGTGCTTCGGGAACCTGGACTTCATCATCACGACGGAGGGAGAGTTGGCGCAAGCTCCTGCCGCCGTTTAGCCTCTCCACTCCATCGGCTTCAACATGATTGTCGAGGCGCTTGAGGAGCTACAACTACACGTGCCGGAGGCCCGTGTCCTCGAGAGCGACTGGCTCCTCGACTTGGATTACGGGAGGCTAGAGCCCCAACTCAACGCCTACCTAGGACCCCGACCGTCCTGGGAGGACCTGCGCTGCCTCACCTTCTTGTTCGCCAACATCATGACGCAGCTTGCCGGAGGGGAACCACTCTCCCCGGAATACCTCATCCGAAGCGCCCCGACAGCGCTCCTGTTCGGTCTACGCAACGCCGTAAGGACCATTGTCCACCTCGTGGCGTAGCGCATGCACCCATCCCCTATGAACGATGAGTTCATGGGGATGACCGAATACGTCGTGGAATCTTTTCATGACCTTCTCGCAGAAGATTTAGAGTTGCTCTCCGACTCTGACTCCAGCAGGGGGAGCCATCATCCCTCGTGAAAATGTTTTATGGCAGGTACCCCCGAGGGACGCATCAAAAGCATCCACGAGGGAGGGGCTACCCCACCAAACGACCTCGAAGATGAGGTCGAGGAAGATGCAGGGGCCCTTCTTCGCATGCGGCTGGAACAGTTAAGGATACGGCACCAGGAGCTCAAGGATGCACGACTCCAACTCGAGCGAGAGCGCGCAGAGCTCGAGCAAGAGATTGAGCACCATGGAGACAGTGGGCATGCGCGTGCCATGGCCCACGACGTGAACTAGAGGATCATTGAAGACGATGGAGCCCTCCCACACTTCGCTCGGGCAAGCCAGAACATCATTGCCACGGTGGCCTTGCTTCGAGGGCTCTCGGAGCCCACGACACTCGAGGATCATTGGGCCCATCGCGAGATCCGCACGCTGCTCGAGCGCATGGTGGTGCAGCAGGCGAAAAGCTTGCTGTCTCAGTGACACGAGCTCGACGCCAGTCAGCGTGCGCCCTCAGGACGACATGTCAGGGATGTGTCTGTCCACCAGGCGCCGCGCACCAAAGGGCCACGCCGTGGCCCCGGTGCATGAGCGTCTCGGCCTCCACTGTGATGCACATAACACCCTAGATGCCCGTAGGCGTGGACGAAGCGACGAGAGAGAGGAAGCCGGCCGCGGCTACCACCCTCGTCGTGGTGGACACATCCTCAATGTCGCCTTCCCACCGTGGTACCGACCGTCGACCAACATCCCGAAATACTCTGAGGAAACGAACCCCAGACTGTGGCTTGAGGATTATCAGCTTGCTTGCCAAGCCGGTGGAGCGGATAGTGACAATTTCGTTATCCGTAACCTCCCATTGTTCCTGGCCGATTCGGCGCGAACATGGTTGATGCACCTTCCACCCAACCGGATTCAAAGCTGGGCGGACCTAAAGGAGATTTTCATGGGAAACTTTCAGGGCACCTATGCGCGTCCTAGGAACCCGTGGGATAACAAAAACATGTCGATAGAAGTCCAGGAAAACTCTTCATGAGTACATCCGGCGCTTCTCCCGGCAGTGCAACAAGCTACCCGACGTCACCGACGCCGACGTTATAGGAGACTTCCTATATGGGACTATCTGCGAGTCCTTGGTTCACAGCTAGGACGCAAGGGCCCGTGAACCACCAAGGAGCTCCTCAACATTGCCACTAGCCATGCCTCGGCGATGCGATTTTTGATCGTCCCAAGGGCAAGGCGAAGCGGGACGAGGATGCCGGTGAAGGCGCCTCCAACCGCCCCAATAAGAAGAAGAACAAGCAGTGGTGCGAGGGCTCGCTCGTGGCTGCTGCCGACCGCTAGGGGGTTCGGAAGCCTACCGAGGGTACCCTAGACCACTTCGAGAAGCTGCACGAAGGGTCATGCCCAAACCATGCGTTCCCCATCAAGCACCTATACAAAGATTGTGCCCTCATGAAGCGGTTCCTGTCTGGTGGCTCCAATAAGGGGAAGCATAGGAAGGAGCCCAAGTCGGTGGCAGACGACACCAAGGGGAAGGATGGTGGCTTTTCGACGCCGGATGGCTGCCTCATGATCTTTGGGGGGTCGACGACCTATGACTCCAAGCGCCACCAAAAGCTTGCGCACCGCGAAGTCTATACGGCCGAGCCGGCCACGCCTTCCTTCCTCCGATGGTCGAAGTCCGCCATCACCTTTGATTGGACCGACCACCCAAAAAGCGTCCCACAGCCGAGAAGATACCCGCTCATGGTCGACCCGATCGTCGGCACAAAGTGGCTCACCAAGGTGCTAATGGATGGAGGCAGCGGCCTCAACATCATGTATGCTGAGATGCTCGACGCCATGGGCATCAACCAATCGTGCATCTGGCCGACCGGGGCGCCTTTCCACGGCATCGTGCCAAGAAAGCAGGCCATGTCGCTTGGGCAGATCGATTTGCCCATCACCTTCTGTAATCCGACCAATTAGAGGATGAAGACCCTTACCTTCGAGGTGGCCGGGTTCCACGGGACCTACCACGCCATCCTGGCACGTCCATGCTACGCGAAGTTCATGGCCGTCCCCAACTACACCTATCTGAAGTTGAAGATGCCGGGTCCGTGCGGGGTCATCACCATCGGCACCTCCTTCCAGCGCACCTACGAGTGCGAGGTCAAGTGTTGCGAACATGTCACGGTGATTGTCGCCTCCAGAGAGCTCGTGGCCATCCGGGAGGAGATCGTCGAAGAAGCGCCCGATCCCAAGTGGTCGGCCGGGTCTTTCGAACCCGTGGAGGGTGCCAAGGAGGTCCTCATAGACCCCAGCAACCCCGAGCGCAAGGTGGTGCGCATCAGCACCATGCTTTCCTCCAAATAGGAAAGCACGCTCATCGACTTCCTCCGTGCCAATAGAGACATCTTTGCGTGGAGACCCTCGGACATGCCAGGCATTTCGAGAGAAGTCACCAAGAATGCCTTGAAGATCAGGCTAGGCTCCAAGTTAGTGAAGCAGCGCCTACGTCGCTTTGACGAGGAGAAGCGTAGGGCCATCGGCGAGGAGATTGTGAAGGTTTTAGCAGCCGGATTCATCAAGGAAGTGTATCACCCCTAGTGGTTAGCCAATCCCGTTCTTGTAAGAAAAAAGTGTGGGAAATGAAGAATGTGTGTTGATTACACAGGTCTCAACAAAGCATGTCCAAAGGATCCATTTCCTTTGCCACGCATAGACCAAGTAGTCGACTTGACCTCAGGGTACGAAACCTGTGCTTCCTTGATGCGTACTGCGGGTACCATCAAATCTCAATGAAAGAGTCCGACCAGCTCACGATGTCTTTCATCACCCCATTCGGATCATTCTGCTATGTCACAATGCCGTTTGGTCTAAAAAATGCAGGGGCTACATATCAGCATTGTATGCTCAAGTGTTTTAGGGACCTCATCAGGCAAACCGTTGAGGCCTACATGGACCACATCGTGGTCAAGTCCAAATGGGCTGACTAGCTCATTGTCGACCTAGAGCAGACCTTCATGAAACTCCGACCAAACGGCATCAAACTCAACCTCGAGAAATGCATTTTTGGGGTCCCGAGGGGTATGTTGTTGGGTTTTATCGTCTCCAAGCACGGCATCGAAGCCAACCTGGAGAAGATCACGACCATCACGAAGATGGGCCCGATTCAGAACATAAAGGGGTACAACGAGTTACAGGGTGCCTCGCCACACT